TCAGCTGTACCTTGACCCTCCACCCCTTCGGCTCCACTGGGCTCCTCCCATTCACCGGTTTCCCCATCGTCCTCGCTCGCTTCATCAACGCCCCGGTCAGCCGAGTCCCCGTCTCCGCCTCGGTCCCGCAGGCCATCAGGTCCATCTTGTGCTTCCGGGGCATTGATGTCGCTCTGGCTTGTTGGCCTCTCTGTTCCACCTGGGTCTCCATTGCTCCCGACTCCTCCTACCGGCTCCTACCGCCATCATCTCCACCATGGCATCAGTCTCTACCTGCTCCTCCTGGTTCCTGTTCATCACTAGCTCCAAGCCCTCCTCCGAAGCCGCTTCCTTTCCTCTTCAGGTGTACTTTTTACAGCGCGAGGATGTGCCTTCCAGGAGGGAGAGCTACTGTCATGGTCATGTTCTATTTTGGTTTCATTTTCATTCCTTGTCATGTTTCCGTTAGCCTTAGTTCGGTTTGTTCAATAGTTTCTATAGTTACTGAATACATTCACCTGTTCTGTTAATTATCTTCATTAGTTTTCCTTGTTATTTAAGCCTAGTGTTCCCTGTGTTCAATGTTCGGTGTCATCTTAGTACAGTATTGTGGTTGCATTCTCTGTGAATCTCCTATGTATTCCTTGGATTTTTAATTAAAGACTATGCTGACTGTGTCTTTGTCTTCGTATGCTTGTCTGTTGCAGCCACTTTTGACACTAAAATGACGCTTGGGGCCGTATGTATAAAGACGCTCAGAGTAAATTTTTATTCTTAAAATTCTAAGAATGACGTAATTTTACTCTTATTACTATTTAAGAATAAGAGTGATTCATAAAGGTTCCTAAGTGTTAAGACTAGGTCTCAGCTCCTAAATTATTTAAGAGAGCTGGAGAAGTATCCTAACCTAGTTAGGAATAACAAGATGGCAGCAAAAAGGAGGAGACACACACTTTCCAACGAAGATATGACATATTGTAGTTATATGATGAGATGGAGTTGATAAAACAATACAAACTTGATCATCAAGATTTCAAGATGCTCTAACTGCAGAAATAAAAGTAACAATTATATTTTTTTGGCTGGAAAATTGGAAAAATGCAGCAATGCACCAGTGATGACACAGTAAGCAGGGTCTAAAATATTGTGGCACTAACCCCACCAAACAAAACAGTGGCCAAAAGTGCTGTGTGGAAGGTTTTTTTTATGACCCCACATTTCACTTAAATCATCAAAATATGAGGGGAAAAGACACTGACCAGTGTTGTCAACTGCTTTCTATTAAAAGTAGCTAAAACAGTCGCTAAATGTTGCTAGATGACGTCATAAAGGAGAGTTCACTGATCTAAATATAAATATAGATCAGTGGGAGAGTCTCGGAATGTAGATATGGTTTGTCAAAGAAATTAATTTTGTTGCTGGGCTTTTGAAAATAGTCTCAAAAGGGGTGAGGAAGTCACTAAATCTAGTGACAAAATCACTAAATTGGCGACATTGATTACAACATATCAGTTATTAATATTTTGTTAGTCCTTGCATGTGCTCATAATTTCTTTGTATGAAAGCATGAGCAAAAATTATGCCCGCACAAATTGGCAACTATGCAATATGCTTACAAAATCTTCAACACATTTTTTTTTAATTAAGGGTGAAGATGTCAAATTTCCCAGGCCAGACATCACTTCTGGCCACTATTATATGGCAGTTCATTGACTTTCCAACTGACTGTCAAACCATGCTGCAAAAACAAGCCACTTTTATGAGGATTGTGGGCTTTCCTGGAGTTGTTGGAGCTCTTGATGGAACTCATGCTCACATCATTGCTCCAACTGTATACCAAACGAAAACAATTTCAAAACATCAGTAATAATTTGTGATAATTGCACAATGCAAAGCATTTTTTAAATACATTTAAATATTAAAATATTTCAGTGTCTTAATTAAATGACTTTATTATAGTTACATTAAATGTTTGGTGTTGTGCTGCTGTGACTTCATGAGCAGGCTCACTATTGGCTGTTTCATAGATTCACAACACTTAAGTGTCACCTCAGTCAACACTTAAGAATCATTCTTAGACTTTACTGAAAGTTGATTTTAGCTTCTTTATAAAAGTCTACTACTCTTAGAAAAGTCCTGCTTTTTACTAAGAATTTTTTGACACGTCAAATTTGTGAATTTTCTTAAGAGCATTTTTGAGAAGTTTTATACATATGGGCCCTGCTTAATAATTACACATGCCATATGCCATTAGCAAGGTACACACCAAAGTCCTGTTTTGGCGCTGGTTAAACCGGATCACGTTTATTGCCCATGATGTATTGGTGGGATGAGCTAATGTGTAACATAAACTTTATGTTTGCCTATCAGGCAGGTTTTATCATGCTGACTGTGTTAGCTGCTGAGGAGTTAAAGGCAGATGAGATCCTCTGCATGGCCCAGACTGAACTGGGTGGAAAAAAGGTGAGTGTATATTTATTAGTCAGTTTTGTTTTATTTTGAGCACAAATGCAGGAAACATCAAAATGATTTTCAAATTGAGCTTACAAATACAAATATGTTTGCCACTGCTTTAAAAACAGGCATGATTCTGTAATGGAAATTATTGCATGGGCTCAGAAACACCTCCGGAAATCATTATTGGTGAACAGTTTGCCGTTCCATCAACAAATGCAGGTTTAAGGTCTATCATGCAAAGAAGCAGTCATGTGTGAACGTTGCCATCTTCTCTGGGTTAAAGCTCATTTTTAATGGACTGAGGCAAAGTGGAAAACTATTCTGTTGTCAGACTAGTCAAAATTTTTTAGAAACCATGGATGCCGCATCCTCCAGACTAAAGAAGAGTGAGACCATCTGTCTTGTTATCAGCACTCAGTTCAACAGCTTTCATCTCTGATGGCATTAGTGCCTATGGAATGGGCAGCTTCCAAATCTGGAAAGGCACCATCAGTGCTGAAAAGGATAAACCGGTTTTATAGCAACATACTGTCAGACTCTGTTCCGTGTTTTGTGGTTGTGTTGCTCCTCATGTGCCTTCCTTTCCCATGTTTAATTTCTCCCAGGTGTTTCCCATGATGTTTCATTGCTTCCCAGGTGTGTCTCATCATCCCCTCCTCCTGTGTGTATAAATAGTGTTCCCTGTGTGTGCTCCAGCGTTCGGTATTGTTTATGTCTACTCTTCGTGCTACGTGTGAGTCCCCGTGAAGATTAATAAATTCTTTGGTTTTTGTACTCTTGGTCTCCTCGTTCCTTGCTCCGTGTTCCCGCACCGTAGCAGATCGTGACAGAATACCGGACCCAACAGTAAGCGGCATCCCTTCCCCGTGTTTAATTCCCGTGTTTTTTGAAAAGTCTTTTTTGTTTTTTCCCGTTCGGTTCTCCCCGCCCTAATGGAGGAACGAGCGATGTTCATCACGGTGGCTCAAGCGAGCCCAGACACTATCGTCTTCGCAAGGGCCAAGCCCGCTGCCGTCCGCGGCCCACTCTAGTCCTCCGCCCGTTGGTATGGCAAGCCGAATGAACATTGATGTGGCAAGCCGAACGACCGTTAATGTGGCAAGCCCGCCGGATGTCCATGCAGAGCTCGCTCCAGTGTCGGCTCCAGCCCCAG